ATACATGGTATGATTCTATTTTTTAAATTTCTTGAGATTTACTTTGTGTCCTAGGATATGGTTAATCTTAGAGAATGTCCTGTGAGCTGATGAGAAGAACGTATGTTCAGTGGATTTAGGGTAGAATGTCCTGTAGATGTCAGTCAGACTCAGTTGTTCCAGGGTTTTGTTTAAGTCCATTATTTCTTTATTAATTTTCTGTTGGAGGATCTGTCTTGTGCCGTCAGTGGGGTGTTGAAATCTCGGATATGGAGTTGCTATTAATCCGTTTGCTTAGATCCAGTAAGGTTTGCTTTATAGAGCTGGGTGCACCTAAGTTGGGTGCATATATATTTAAAATTGTTATCTCTTCTTGTTGAAGTGTGCCCTTCACCGTTATATGTGCCCTTCACCCTCTTTGTCTTTCACTACTTTTGTTGGTTTAAAAACTAAATCATCTGAAATTAGAACTGCCACGCCAGCCTTCTTTTGGCTTCCACTTGCCTGGAATACTGATCTCCACCCTTTTACTTTTAGTCTATATGCATCCTTGCAGGTTAGATGTGTTTCCTGAAGACAGCATATACTTGGCCTGTATTTCTTATCTATTCAACAGCCTATGTCTCTTGAGTGGAGAGTTTAAGCCATTCACATTTATTGAGAGAATGATAGGTAAGTAGATTACTGTTCATTCTGTTGTGGTTGGATGCTGTTGCTTTGATTTCGTCTTGAGCCATTGTATTATCTGGCCTTTAATCTTTTGTTTTGTGTTTTTATATTTGTGAGTTTTTATTATGGTGTTCCGTGTGTAACACTGTTTTGAGTACTTTCTTGTAGGCTGGTCTTGTCTTGGTGAATTCTCTGAGACTTTGCTTGTCTGAGAATGTCTTTATTTATCCTTCATATATGAAGCTTAGTTTTGCAGGGAATAAGATTCGTAGGCTGGGATGTTTTGTTTCAGAAGAGTGAGAATGGGGCCCAGTCTCTCCTTGCTTGTAAATCCATTAGAGAAGTCTGGTGTTATTTGAATTGGCTTCCCTTATATGTCACTTGCTTCTTTCATCTTACAGCTCTTAGAAGGGCTCTTTAGTGATATTTTGGTCAGTCTGATGACTGCATGCCGTGACTCTTCCTATTGCACTGAATCTCCAGGGTCCTCTGAGCTTCTTGATTGTATGTCGAGATTTTGAGCAAGGCCTGGGAAATTTCTCTATTATATCTTCAAAAGCTTGTCCAACCTTGAGTGTTGTCCTCTCCCCTTCTGGTAACCCTATGACCTCACATTAGGTTTCTCACATAACCCACATCTCTTGTAGGCTTTGCTTTTCTCTTGTTCTCTGCTCTATCTCTGTGATGGTTTTATTTAGTTGGAGGGTGTTATTTCAATTCTCTGAGATTCTTTCTTCTGTTTGATCACCCTGTTCTTGACGAC